GTGTGTGTGTGTGTGTGTGTGTGTGTGTGTGTGTGTGTAGAAGAGGAGATGCTGGTTTAGATGGAAAATATCACCAAAAACATCAGGTGAGTCCTACAGGGTTAAAAACTGCATCATTAACAAAAACATGAAGATGAAGACAAAATTTGCTTTTTTAAAAATGTTTTTACTCATTATGGTTTTTATTTACTTTACAATTTGTTGTGTTTTAAACACAAAAATGTAAAATTAACCTTTTTAATAATTCAATAAAAATAATTATGCTTTTAAAAGCAGCCAAATGAGAAGTTAGCAGTAGTTTTTTATGTTTAAAACCATTATAGTTGTAAAAAGTACTGTTTAGTTTCAATACACACTAAGTTCCTTTACAAGCAAAATGTTTCAAATGTAGAGGTTAACATTTAGCATGTTAGACTTTGTGTTTGTAAAAATGTTTTATTGACTCTGAAATTTTTTTTTATGCATACTGTAATTCAGAGGTTCTCAAACTGGGGTCCCTGGACCCCCAGGGGTCCACGAGAGGTATCTTGGGGGTCCTCAAAAATTTTTTACTAAAATGTTAATTTGGTTTTTATTTTTAAAAATGCATGGAGAACAATGAACTAATAAAACAAACACAATAAACGTAATAAAAATATATATTACCATGGCATTTAGGTGTTGAAATGACAATAAATTATCTTTTAAAACAGCATGAGGTTTATGAGGGGGTCCTTGGAATTTTTTCTGACTTGTAAGGGGTCCCCAGACCCAAAAGGCTTGAGAAACCCTGCTGTAATTATTATTTTCTGGACTATTAAACTCTAAAATTACAGTTTTTGTAGTTTTTTTTTTTTTTGCATTTTACAGCAGCTAAACTACACTCAAAAAACAGATTGTTGGATTTACTTTACTGAGTATCAATTTCCACTCAGCTGAGTATGTGTAAAACTTTTACATTTATTTTTAAAGAAAACCTGTTGTTTTACTCAACTCACTTTAGTAGAATTTTTTTTGCCATAACTTGGTTGAGTAAATTCAACACATCTGTTTTTTAGTGTATTATAGCAATAAATGTGGTAGTTTTCAAGTTTGTAAAAACACGTTTTATACTGAAGATCATCGTTATTGTCTATATTTGTAGTACTTCAAGAAAACAAACAAATGTTTTTAGTAATTTTGATAAACTAAATTGCAGCTAAGTGTTAAAAGTGTAGAAGCTAGTAGTAGTTTAGTGGTTTACAAGTTTGTTAACAACTGCAGAACTTATACTATTATCTTTGATTTGATTTGATTTGATTTATTTAACAGGAAAAGATTTTTAAAAATCAAGCCTGACTCAGCATAATTGCTGTTTTACAGCAGGTTCCTGTTCTGCAGCACATAAAACACTCAGAATTACAG